CCTTATTAGTTTGTCACAGTTGAAAACATCACTTGCACAAAATATTCTCCCCATGGTCAGAAAAACTTCAGCTTTCAGCTATCAATGCATAAAATATGAGGTGATTTTTCTCATTCCATGCTTAAGAAAGCAATAAAGACACCCTGGCTTAGACATTTCTTGTCTGTGAAAGAACAGTTGTTATAAGAACATTGCCTTGGGCCTCTCTGATCCTTCTAATAAGTCATTGACTAAGCAATTTTATCTAAATACCTGTGCAGAGCGCCTGGTAGGGTGTCAAGATAATAATATTTTAGCAGTTATACTTGTCATTTTTATATCATGGATTGCTAGTCCCATAATAAAGAAATACTATTGAAAGTAGAATAAGCTTCTAATTTGTTTTGATGACTAAAAAGTTAGAATTTTCCTAAAGATTCTAAATTTAATGTTCATAATGTTCATAAACTTTGACTAAGAAACATAAAATAATCATATCTTGAGAATGACTCATGAATATTTTTTATTTCCTGCTCCATTTTTGCCCCTACTATGTGAAGATTTCACTGCAATTTCAATTCTGTAACTATAGAGCAGCACTGTCTAATAGAACTTTCTACAATGATGGACATATTCTAAAATCTGTGTTGTGCTTATAGTGGTCACCAACCACATGTGTCCAAGTACTTGAAAGCAAGATTGAAAAGAATCAACTAGATTTGGCATTTGAGAGGTCATTCTCAACACTTGGAGGAGAATTCTATGGAGTTAATAGAGGATAAAAGCCTATTATAGTGGGTGGAGGAGAAAAAGGGAGATAAAGTAGAGACAGCAGGTGTACTGGGGAGGTGAGGAGGTGGAGTGCACTGGAGTAGGTGGCTGAGCAGAAGACAGGCACAATGGAGCTCTGCTGCAAAAACCAGTGATCTGGCATTTGTGTAAAAAATGGAGGGAAGAGGGAGGAAGCTGTATTTTATGTTCAGTTTTTATTAGGAAAAAAGAAGCTAAGCTGAGACTCTCTACCATTTAGTAAAAACAAGTGATAAAGTAAGAATAAATCCCAGCTCCACAAGAAGAATGGAAATATTTATATTCCTTTGGGCACCTTGAGGATGTAAGTCCTCAAATGTTTTGAGTTTTTTTCTGAAAATCTATAAGAATCCATAATAGTATAAAAATAAGGTATTCCATTATTTCCTCTAATAGAAATTTTATAAATTCATAATACCAAGATTGATTTGTCAAACAAAAAGGATGTATTCTTGAACTTCTCTATAATCATTTGTTAAAGCTAACTTTAGGTTACAAATTCTGAAACATAAAAGGTAATTTCAAAATATACAATCTGTTTTTATATAATGATCCTAATCAAAAGTCAATCAGGACTGAAATCATACAATTTTTTGAAGTGAATGGATATTTTTTAAACTTTCATTTTGTAAGTGAGAATCATGAAGGCCAAAGAAACAAAAGACTAAGCCAAATTTACCCAACCATGACCTGAACCCAGGTTTTTAGACTCTGAGTCCCCTGCTGTTTAGACAGAGGACTGGATGAATGACACAGCAAGATGTTTTGTATGTATTTTCTTTCTATTGTAGAAATAGAGAAAACATTTTCTTTTATATTAATTTTTCATTGACACACAATTGTACACATTTATGGGGTGCCATGTGATGATCCCATACGTATATACATCATGTAATAAACACATCAAAGTAGTTAGCAGAATTCAAAATTTCTAACAGTGTGCCTCATGGAGGAAAAGAGCTCTTTTCTTTATGTTTCCTGACTAGTATTATTTGCCCTTAAGCACATTCTCACAATTCTCATTATGCCTCCCATACTTCTCACTCATTTTTTGAAAGTGTTTGCTAGGGCATGGTGGCACATGATTGTAATCCCTGTGGCTCAGGAGGCTGAAGTAGGAGGACTACAGGTTCAAAGCCAGGCTCAGTAACTTAGTGAGGCTGTAAGCAATCTAGTGATATCCTGTCTCAAAATAAAAAAAAATAAAAAGGGTAAGGGATGTGACTCAGTGGCACTTACCCAAGCACCCTTGGGTTTGATCCCTGGTACAAAAAAAAAAAAAAGTATTTGTTAGGAAATTTGAACCAAACAGAAACTATTATCATGTACTTAATGCCTTCCTTAAAAATGTCTGACTTATCTACAATTCTTCTAAAAGACTCTTCCCTTACTGAAGACAGAAAAGATAATATTGGGGTGGCTTAGAGGCAGAGCAGTGGAGTTTAACGATTTGTTAAAATTATCTCAGTATTCAAAAACTGACCTCAAGTTTTCAGAATTTTACATAGTAAGTCCTACAAACTATAGGATTCTTGTATGTTTGGGGTTTGTACAAAAAAACTGGGCTTTATATTTTGCATGAAATGAATGTGAGGGTTGCTAATACAGCACATAGAAAAACTGATTGTGCTCTAGCTCGTAGATGGCCAAAGGACTTTGTTTCCTTCTTTTTTGTTATTGTTGTTGTTTGGTTGGTTGTGGGGGGGATGGGGGTCAGTAACTCCTTTGTAAATATCTCAGAAAGAGTAAAAATCAGATTAAGTATCACATATCTTGCTCATGTCGCAATAGTCCATTTCTAGAAATAATAACACTTTCTCAAAATGAAGTCATTTATATTCTTAGCCATGCTCTATTGTGTGCACTGAGTAATTTCTTGAGAGCAGTGTTTCCTGTGGCATATTGCCAAGGCTAGGTTTATTTGTTTTTCATTAGGTTTTTCATTATCAAGCTGCTATATACCTGAATCGTTCTGCTTCCTCTGAGATGGCTGGTGTAGCTTAAGCATAGGAATGATACTATGAGTAGGTGGAATGCTTTTGTCCATTGAATGCTCATTTTAAATACTTAGCTATGGTACCGTTCTAATGGCTTTAATCCTTCTAAGAACAATCAATTATCCATTTATAATGTAGTCTGATATTAAACTGTTTACATCCATCTATTCAGTCCCTGTCCAGGAAAAAGCATTAGTCTCACTTTGCACCATGCTAGGCCTGCCCCTCCTCCTCCTCTCTTATCCCAGGGAAAGCCATCCAGATCCACCCCTGTTCCAGCCTGGAACCAGGATGCATTCTGCATTTCTCCATCATCCCACATGTTCAATCTCCAAGTTAAACTTGTTGATAGTTTTCAAATCCATTTGCTTCTTTCTGACTCCGATGACTACTACCTTAGTTTAAGCCCAAATCATCTCTAGCACAGCTGCAGCAACCTCCTCAACACCGTGGCCCCGGTATTGCCCCTTCCAGTTCATTTTCTTTTACTTTGAACTTATTTCTGCACCTGTTGCCATCCACAAGCAGGTATTCATAAGTGTTTTGTGTTATACACTAATAGAACAGAGTTTGGGGATTTTTCCAGAAAAGTACCAATCTTGATTCTTGAACTTCTATAGAATCCTTAATTTTTAAAATACTTTTCTTTTTTTTAATTGACATTATAATATTTATACTTAGCAGTTACAGCATAATAATTTGATACATTTGTACAATGTGTAATGATCAAATCAGGGTAATTGGCATTTCCATTTCCTTAAACATTTATCCTTTCTATGTGTGGGTAAAGTTCAAATTCTTCTAGTTATTTTGAAATATATAATAAATTATTATAAATTATAGTTATCCTACTGTACTATATAGAACAAAATAACAGTTTCTTCCATCCAAATGTAGTTTGGTACCCAAGACCCAGCCTCTCTCCGCTGCCCTCTCCCTAGCACTACCCTTCCTAGCCTCATGACACTCTCTACTTCTCAGCTTCCACCACTGAGCAAGAACATGCAGTATTTGTCTTTCTGTGCCTGTGTTATTTCATTTGACATAATTAGAATCCTAAATTTAAAGAGATGCTCTAGCTTACAGATGAAAGATTCAAATCTAGGGACAAAATGAGTACCTATAATTTCTGTCATGTATTAATCAGCAGCTTAATATAGTCATTGAAATCTGAGACTTTCAGGACTAGGCTAGTTCTTGGAGATTGTGTGATTCAACCTTATCATTTTATAGTTAAGGAAACTGGGACCCAGGTATAGAAATCAAAATGATCTTTGTAATTTTAGAATCCCACCATGTATCTCTTTTCTTAAAACCCGTCCATGGCTTCCCATGATGTTCCCAATGAAGTCTGAACTTCTTGGCATTGCATACAATATCTGTGCAGTCTGGCCTCTGCTTATCTTCCATTCTTACCTTTTCTCTTCTCTCCAAATAACCCCATAACTCAATGCTTTTCAGTATACTTTGTCTTTTCTTATAGGTTATTGCACATGATATTCCTTTTGTCCCTCCTTCTTTGGGTCCTAACCACATCTGATTAAGTGTCATCTGCTCCAAAAACATCTCTCGTATCCCTTCTGGACTCACAAGCGACTGTCACCACATAGCTATTCACAGCATTCCAACTGCCTTTGCATGACCTATGTCTATTACTGGATTGGAAGGAGTAAAGACTGTCAGGGGCAGTGGCTGCATCCTATTCATTGCTCTATTTCCCCATCTTGATTAGGAATATGGCATTCAATATTTTCAAATTTATTATTCTCACTTTTAACCTGCCTACTTAATGTCAATTTTTCTATCAGTCCTCCTCACAAAATCTGTTTTTAGATTAGTTTTTTAAAAAAATGAATTGATTCATTCACATCAATGTGCAGGTCACTGATAATCCTAAATGACAACTCTTCTGAGATGCATTTACATTTTTACAGGAACAGAATTCTAAGTCACAGGGATGAATGTCAGTGTAGATAATCTGACTTTAAAAAGTAACCAAGAGAGATTTGTGAGGAGAGGGAAGTTTTCAATACCTCCCAATTGGTAACCCAGGGGACCAACTCTGCCCTCACCTGCACAGAAGAATGACTTTGTGTCTTTGCTTAAAAAAAAAATCAGATCACTTGTTGGTTATTTTACTCTTTGTTAAATAAATTATTATTTCCCACAGTGTAAACGTTTAGTTTGTCTGTAACAATTCTGGTTTTGTTTCAGGGAAGCAATGTTATGGAAGATCAAGATTTGTTGGAAATTGGTATCCTTAATTCTGGGCACAGACAAAGAATTCTACAGGCAATCCAGCTCCTTCCAAAGGTAAGAAATACTTTATTGCCCTAGCCCTGTGTATGGTTCCTAGCAGGTTTAAATCCAGGCTGTAGGGCATGTAATACAGTGTAGTACAGGATATGTTGTGGCCAGCTGGGAGGCTTCACAAATATCCATCCCCCCACCCTCAGGTGAGAACTCAGGTACAAGAAGGCTAGAGTCATATTAAGTAAGTGCAGGAATGTCCTTGGCTTAAGGCCTCATTCCCCATAAAAATCAATATCTCTAATAGCAACTCCATAGACTTAGCCTCCAGCATCTCTATGAGGGTCCTGCCTAATTATTAGAGTCATCACTCAGGAGGTCCAAAATGTCCCATCCCCACCATGTATTTATAGTTCATAGATAGATCCTTCCTGTCTAGATGCAATTGGCCAAGGAGGCATCATTTTTACTGTAATCTGTATGTTATCTGGCAACTCAGTTGATGTTCTGTTCCTAGATAAGCTTTTAAAGAAGCCTAAAGGAAGAGGTAGGATGTGAGAACTAGTCTTTCAAGATAAGTAGGATTTTAATGGATAGGGAAAGGGAAAGGGAAAGGCATTTCAGGAGGCCAGAAGAGCCATCTAGTCCCAGGTATGGTCCAGGCCACAAATTGCTGAAAGCATTAGATAAATCATTAATAATATAAAATCCAATGGGATTTGCACAACAGTGTAAATGTACTAATGTCACTGAACTTATGCTTCAAAAAATTTTGTTAAAAATCTTTCATCACCATTTTTAAAATGATCAAAAATTAAAAGAATCTTTGGTGTGATTAAAACTGGAGAGTGTAGTGTGCTGTCAGAAATAAAGCAGAAAACATAGATAGGGTCAGTTTGTGTCAGGCTAAGGAATTTAAAGTTTTTTCTGTAGGCACTGGAGACTAGACATGACTAGACTACTTTATGCTGGTGAATTCTGGAAGCAATTTACCAGAGGAATTACAAGGAGGTAAAGTTGAAGTGGGGTCATCCAGTTGGGAAAAGATTAGGGGAGGGCAAGCCTGGAGGCAGGGTAGCAGAAGAGCTGTAATGGATGCACCTGGATCCACAAGCTTTTCCTACATTTTGTACTCTCTCTCTCTTTTTGTCTTCAGAATGGGAAAGAAATATTAAACACTATTCTAAGGAAATTATATGATAAAAATTGTCATCAGACAGTGAACTGAGTTTTTTCTGATAGAAACTTAACACTTGTAAATTTAACGAGAGCCAAGCATAGGAAGGAGTATAAAATCATACAATTTCCTACATTAAACAGAAAAGAATAAAATGTCCTTAGAACTAATTCTCAAAATAATCTGAATGTGCATATCGTTTATCTCCCTACTTTTATATCTTAAAATATTATTTCCTCTCAAGCTGAGGGGAGGCAGGTAGTTCAGTGGTAGGGTCATTGCCTACCATGCATGAGTCCTGGGTTTGATCTCGAGAACCATAAGAATCATCATCGTCACTATCATCATCACCACTACCATCATCAACACCACCACCATCATCAACACCACCACCATCATTACCAACATCATCATCATCATCATCATTATCGTCATCATCATCTGTCATCCTGGTGGACTACTTTAAGGATTTCTCATTTTTCCTCTCTAACCTGGAGGATTCACACATGTCTAATCTCTGTCTGGAAATCCTTCTTAATCTCTACAACTGGATTTCCACTTCTCTAAAACTCTTTCTAAAACGTAAATCAGTTCACATCACACCCAACTTAAAGCCTCCAATGCATTTCCTTCTCACTTAGAATAAAATTCTTATCTTGTCCCGAAAGTCAATAGGATCTGGCCCCTTCCTACCTTTGTGACTACATTGTCAGTTTTTCCTTCTACACTTCAGACACGTGGCTTTCTTTTTGTTTCCCACAATGGCAAGCACATTTTTGCTTCAAGGTCTTTTGCATTGGTCCCTCTACCTGGAAAGCCCTTCCTTCAGACCTTTGTTCATCATCAAGTCTCAGGTGACACCACTTCAAAGAGGCCTCATGACCTAAAATTATACCTCCTACCAGTTATCACTGTCCTTGACATTTCCCTGTTTTATATTTCTCCATAGTACTTATGGCTAATAGAAGTGTTATTGTTTGTTTGTTTCTTTCTTTATTGTTTTTCATCTTTTTTATTTTTTTTATTTTTTTATTGTTGGTTGTTCAAAACATTACATAGTTCTTGATATATCATATTTCACACTTTGATTCAAGTGGATTATGAACTCCCATTTTTACCCCGTATACAGCTTGCAGAATTACACTTCCATTGATTTACATATTGACATACTCATGTCTGTTGTATTCTGCTGCCTTTCCTATCCTCTACTATCCCCCCTCCCCTCCCCTCCCCTCCCCTCTTCT